AGTGGATACTAGGCTTATTGTGGTCACTTCATAAGGTGTATAAACACTCCATCATCATATTATATACCTAAAACTAATATAATAGTGTATGGCAACTATAAAAAAAAAAAAGGAAGGTGGAGGAAGGTGCTCACAAGGTACAAGCTCCCTATTGTAAGCACTAAGGATGTAACATACAAAATGATGACTGTAGCTAACACTGCTGTATGTTATATAGGAAAGTTGTTAAGAGAGTAGATTTTAAGAGTTCTCATCACAAGGAAAATTATTTTTCCTTAAATTTTTTTTATTGTGTCTATTGAGATGATGGATGATAACCAAACTTATTGTGGTAACCATTTCACAATACATGTAATTCAAACCATTACGCAGTAGAGCTTAAACTTACCAGTGATATAAGTCAATTATATCCTAATAAATTGAAAAAATAATTTTAAAAACCACCATAATTTACAGTTTCAAGTTTTTATGGCTGTTAAGATGGAGGTTCATTGTTCTTACTTAATTACTTTTTATAAACAGAATATTATATTGTTCTAGGTTGAATTGTGCTTCTTCACAAAAAGATATATTGGAGTCCTAACTCCCAGTACTCTGATGCAACTTTATTTGGAGAGGGGCCTTCCCAGACATAATCTAGTTAAAATGAGGTCACTAGGGTGGGTCTTCATCCAGTATGATTGGTGCCCTTACTTTATAAAAAGGGGAAATTTGGACACACAGACTTACACAGAGGGAAGCTGAATGTGAAGCCACAGGGAGGTCATCGGCAAGCCAAGGAGGAAAGCCTCAGAGAACCCAGCCTTGACCACACCTTCATCTCTGATTTCTAGCATCCAGAACAGAGACCTTAAGTGTCTGTTGGTTAAGCCACCTTGGCTGCTGTGGTTCTTTGTCCAGAGAGCCCTAGCTGACTCATGTCTATACATCTACACTTACGTGCATGCTAATCAGGTATTGTTTTCTACTGATTTGATGATTTTTGGAGCATCTGCAAAGGAATTTATTTGATAAAAAGACTCAATTGCTAACCAACACCCCTTCTCTCTTAGTCCTCTGGGCCTTGTATGGTAACTAACTGGCTTGGCCCAGGGATGCTAGTGGTGGGAAAGTTGGCACAGAGTCACCAGGGTCAGTAGGAGTTCTCTGTGTGCGCAGGGTCTGACATGGGCAAGTTCGTCCTCCAGGAGAGTTTGTGGGCCAGTGCTGCTTCCCTAGATAACTCTGTGGCCAGCCCTGGGTTGCCTGTGCCACCAGCTCCCTGTGCAGGCCTTCTCTCCAAGGGTCATTGGTCACCCACCCATTGGTCCTTGCTGATTGTCTTGTTTTCAAGAGGGGACTTGAGGCTTAGATAGGGGTTCTCCCAGAGGTCAGAGCAAGTGGTTGGACCCTCATAAACTTCCCTAAAAGCCCCAAGATACCAGGCGCCCATTCAGTGTGCCCTTCCCCAGGCCTTTGTTTCTCACAGGGAAGCCTGGCTAACAACAAAAAGAGAACCCAAGGAAAGCAGACATCTTTGGGAGCGGGATTGTGTAGCTTGTCAGCCTGTTGATTTATTGGGGTATGAGGGCCTTTGAAGTAGGAGGCCATTGGATTCCTTGAAGTCTGGTCCAGTGGGGAGGCCTTGGAAATGCCATATCGAGAGGAAGGGGCATGTGGGCATGGGCTGGCTTACAGGGCCCTGGACGCACAGGGTCCTGGGAGGTCTGGTAAGGGAAGGAGCTCTAGAAGTGTGTTTTTTTTAATCCTTTGGATCAGTGGCGCTTGTTACAAAGCACAGGGATAGCTCTCCAGCAGCGTCAGGTTCCCATGGAAAAAAAAAGCATTGAGTTGACACTGGCCCTGAGTTTTCCAAGGGGTGCCCCTAGCCAGCCTCTTGGGAGCTTTTGTGGAAACTGTGGACAGGGGTGCAGGGATCCATGGCCAGCTGCTTATATGAGAGGCCACTGGTCTAGGCACCTTTGGGTGCTGGAGAGTGGGGTGTGAGGGGAGTCATGCAGAGGGACAGTTAGGAATGGTTATATATATACGGGTGCCAGTGTGCACCCCAGGGGCTGTCAGGGCTTCTGACTATGGATGCTTTGGATCACAAGGAGCTGAATTTGGGGTGCAGTGAAGAAGGAAGCTATTTGGTGCAGACCACTCCATTATGAAGCAGCATGGCTGTAGGGCAGCCCTGGGGCAAGGCTTCTCTTTGGCTAGACTGCTGTGTTCTTCTGTATCTGATTCAGTCTAGTCTGGTCTGGTCCTGTGCACTCTGCTCTGCTGAGATATCTTTGGTGTATCAGTTCTGGCAGGGAAAACAGAGTTCTCTTCTTGCACAGAAAGGAAAAGTGTGCTTTCTGAACCAGAGGGGAACTGACTTATATATATACTGAAGTCCCCACCCATGGTTCCTGATTAATCCATCCTTATACAAATGAGTATCCAAATCCTTATAGTTTGATAGATCCAAAAAGCATTGTTCTGATTGGTCAGAATGGAGCTGCTGTGATTGGTCTGTGAAGATGCTCTTGGGCGGGGGCCTATAGCTGTGCACCTCTGAATGGACAGGAAATACCTCAGTCTTACTGGTTAAAATAAAATTTTAGGAACTCCTATATAGGGGCTGGCTCAGAAGGCAAGAATACAGTGCAGGTGGGCAGTTCAGGGTGGGCAGCAGGCAGTTTTCTCCCCGAAGTACAGTTTCTGTGAGAGGCCCCTCTGTGAAAATGGCTATGAGGGTGTTTTAAAAATTTGAGCCCAGTTAGCCACCCAGGAGTCTTCTTAGTGTAGGCATCTTTTTTCTAGGGTCCATAGATACAACCTTCTGGTTGTCTGGTTCAGCACAGAATTGTTTCGTAGATTAGAGTCAGCCACCTTTTTCATGGTATACCATTTTTTCTTCATTATTTGTAAAATTCGGTATGTCATTGTTTTCTTTTTTTTATTGAAATGTACTTTATTAGGTGGCTCAAACTCATTACAACCACTATTCTTATAAAACGAAGGCAGTATACATTTCTGCTAATTGGTTCAAAAGAAATTAAGTAGGGACTTCTGCCAAGATGGAGGCATAGGTGGAGACGCCGTGCCTTCTCACACAACCAAGTTTAGAGACAATTAAATATCAGCAACAGAAAACAGCCAGAACACAGAAAATTGAACTTTTCGGAAGTCTCATAACAACAAATTCTTCAGCCTGACCGGTAAGAGGGGCGAAACCAGCAGCTGGCGGAGTGGGGTTGCACGGGAAAACTCGGTCAGATGGATTCGGGCGCGCTGAACCCAGGCACAGGGTTGGACCTAGTGAGCGACCGAGTGAGTGACCGTGGGGAAACAGCGAGGGAGCAGGGCCGAGATTTGACTGTGGTCGTGCATTCATGCGCAGATAGACAAGCGAGGGAGTGGGCGATTAGATGGGACCCAGCAGGCCACAGTGGCGAATTGCAGCAGAGGGCACCGCCATTTCCCCCACTCTGACCCCACCTCCACATACAGCGTCGTAACCCAGCGACCTGAGTGGCCCGGCCCTGGGGAACCACCTAAGGCTCTGCTCCTCACCCAGCCACGAGAAACAGCAGAGGGGGCTGCCATTTCCCTGCTCTGACCATGCCCCCACATACAGGGTCACAACCCAGGGAGCTGGGAGTCCAAGGCTCTGCTCCTCATACTTAACGAGTGCGAACAGACCAAAAATGGCTCAAGAAGATCTCAAAGCCCAAGAGCCTATAAATTTAAGCAATGAAGAAATAGCAAAACTCTCAGATGCACAGTTTAAAACACTGGTGATCAGGATCCTCACAGATCTGGTTGATTATAGCCACAAATTAGACAAACATATGAAGGCGAAACTGATTGAAATGAATGGAATTGCACAGGAAACCAATAGCGATGAAAAGGACACTGGGACTCAAATCAATGGAGTGGACCAGAAGAAAGCAAATAATGGCCAAACAGAAAAGAGTGAAGAAGCAAGAATTCAAAAAAATGAGGAGAGGCTTAGGAACCTCCAGGACATCTTTAAATGCTCCAACATCTAAATTATAGGGGTACCAGAAGGGGGAAAGGAACAGCCACCAGTGGAAAACTTATTTGAACAAATAATAAAGGAGAACATCCCCAATCTGGCAAAGGAAATAGACTTCCAGGAAATCCAGGAAGCTCAGAGAGTCCCAAAGAAGTTGGACCCAAGAAGAAACACACCAAGGCACATCATCATTACATTAGCCAAGATTCAAATGAAGGAGAGAATCCTAGAAGCAGCAAGAGCTAAGGGGACAGTCACCTACAAAGGAGTTCCCATCAGACTGTCAGCGGATTTCTCAAAAGAGACCTTACAGGCAAGAAGGGGCTGGAAAGAGGTATTCCAAGTCATGAAATCTAAAGACCTACAACCAAGATTGCTCTATCCAGCAAAAGTTTCATTTAGAATGGAAGGACAAATAAAGTGCTTCTCAGATAAGATAAAATTCAAGGAGTTCATCATTACCAAGCCCTTATTATATGAATTGTTAAAGGGACTTACCTAAGAAAAAGAAGATAAAAAAATGAACAGTGAAAGGACAGCAAACTCACAGTTATTAACAACCACACCTAAAACAAAAGCAAACTAAAAGGACAGCTAGATCAGGAGCAGAACCATAGAAATGGAGATCACATGGAGGGTTAGCAACAGGGGAGTGGGAGAAGGGGGGGTGAGAAGGTGCAGAAAATAAGTAGCATAGACAGTAGACAGAAAATAGATGGGGGGAGGGTAAGAATAGTAGGGGAAATAGAATCTAAAGAACTTGAGACACGTGTTCATGAACTAAAGCGGGGAATGGTGGGGAAGGGGTGTGCAGGGTGGAGGGGAATGGAGGAGGGGAATAGAACTACTGTAATGGCATAATCAATAAAAATGAATTAATTTTAAAAAAAGGAATTAAGTAATCATGCAAGTGATTTCTAAATTCTATGTGTCATTTTTTTCATGCTCTCACTATCATTTCCCCAAAATTATTTCCTAGGATGCTTTGGATTTATGGGAATGCTTTCAGTGTTCCCATAAATGCAGCTGGCATGTTCTCAACCCCTTCAGTGATGTGTTCATTGTACTGGATTTTACCCTCAGTGACCCACTTCAGCAAGTCTTTCAGAGTCTTCTGGCGGACCTCCAGGTGCCAGCGGCTGACGATGAACCCTTCCATGTGCAGCTGCTGATAGATAATAACCTCTGGGGCTGGGCCTGGGGAAAGTGGATGAGTGAGGTTATATATGGAGATGGCCCTGCATAGAGCAGTTCTTCCAAACTTCTTCATCTGGGGGATAAAAACATTAGAAAATTCTCCACCTACATTATCAAAATAACAATCATAACCATCAGGAAAAGCTTTTTTCAAAGTTTCTTCCAGAGACTCTATCATCTTAAAGGCAACATCAAATCTAAGCTTTTTAAGGTAGGCAACCTTATCATCAGACCCTGCTGCTCTGACAACTTTGCAGCCCTTGGGCTTAGCTATCTGCCCCACAACAGAGCCCACGGCCCCTGCAGCTGCATTCACCAGAACTGTATCTCCAGCCTTTGCTCTGCAGACGTCAAACAGGCCAAAGTAGCTGTCAGTCCTCACATGCCAACTGTCCCCAACCTCAAAGACAGAGGTAATGTGTCTGGCCACTCCTCAGGCAGCGTGTCCAGTTGTTTTCCATCAGAAATGGAGTGTGTTGTCCAGCCCAAAGGGGCTGAAATAATAGCTCCTGTTGAGAAGGCTGAATTTTTACTTTCCAGAACTCTGGCCACTTGCTCCCCCATCATTGTTTGACCCTCCTTCAATCTTTTTGTCTCCAATCTCATGTAAGGATCCACAGTGAGGAACAGAGCTTCCAGCAGGACCTCTTTGTTTTCTAAGGGTGGGAGTTCAGCTGTCTTCATCTCAAAGTTACCATCTGTAGGGTGACTTTCAAAGTGCTTCTTCAAGGTCCAATTCTTAGCATGAACCCTCCTGACATTCAGCCGTCTGTGGGCTCCAATGCCTGGAGAAGGCGGTTGAGATTGCTGTTTTCTTTTTGAAGAAGGAAAGTCCATTGCTTGGTAAGGCAGGCCCAGGCACAATTACCTCTAATTAGTGAAGTGTTTCCAGAGTTCAAATAAGGTTCCCTTACTTTTTCTTGTGTTATACTAAACTATGAGCCCATATTTTTAAAAAGTAAAAAAAAAAAAAAACCCAAGATTTTTTTTCTAGTTGACTAACCACACATTTCTATGGGGTCTAAAATCCAGGCTGATACAAAACAAAAGAAAAAGAAGGAATGAAAACCAAGTATGCCTGTAAGTTGGTTTGTCCAGGATTAAGTTTTAAAAAATGCTCTTTATAATTGTTTTTTCCCTGGCCATAGATTGGGGCCTGCCTAAATTTTGGGTGGGGGTAAGGGGAGGTCCTCATGATAAGGGGTCCAATTATCTATTTATAATTGCAGGCATTTATTTAAAAATCACTATGTGAAAACCCTCATAAAACAATACTACATGTTTTTTATCTTTTATATAGGCAAATACTTCCAAGCGTTCCCTCCTGGCATTGGGTGTGATCAAAGAGACTTCATTTAGCTTTATCTGTGATGTCTTAATTTTTTGCCAATCTAGTGTATTTATTACTTGGTTAAATAAAAATCGGGAAAAACCAAAAACCAAAAACCCGGTAACATGCAATGATTTGAAAAATGAAAACTGAGAAGGATATAAAATTAAAAGTACCTCATAGCTTCTCACGTTCCTTCCCCATGCTTTCCCCCCAGATACCGCCACGTAAACCTGGCTGGCAGTCTGTCTGCTTCATTCCAGACATTTTCTAGGCACACATGCTTGTCTGTGCATCTCCTGTATTTACTTATATTTAAATATTGTGGTAGAAGTTACATGACATAAAATTAACCATTTTAAAGTGCACTTTTCAGTGGAATTGCAGATACTCGTACTGTTGTGTAGCTATCATGCTTGCCCACATTCAGAACATTCTGTTGCCCCCAAAGCAAACCCCCTGAATTAATGGTCACTCCCCATTTCCTGCCCTAGCCTCTGATAGCCGCTAATCTTTTTGTCTCTGTGGATCTGTCTATCCTGGAAATTTCATCTAAATAGATGACAAAGTGGCCTTTGTATCTGGTATCTTTAATCAGGCATAATGTTTTCAAGGGTCATCCATGTTGCAGAATCCTTGCTTTGTTTTTAAATACAGTGAGATTATATCATTCAGACAGAACTGAGGCTCACTGTTACAATAGTTCTTATAAATCTTTTTATATTAGTGTGTGCCAGGTACCTTATTTTTCCAACCTTTGCTAGTATCTGTCAGTTGGATGTATATAAGTCATTTCACTGGTCTCCTATGGGTGTATACTTTTGATTTTAGCCACTGACATAAACCAGTGCTGAAACAAACATCTGTGGATACATATTTTGGTGTGTGTGTGTGTGTGTGTGTGTGTGTGTATGTATGTGTGTCTGTGGAGTCAGTTCTCAGAAGTGAATTTTTAGTCCAAGGTATTTATTTTAACATTTTTTTAGATTCTACAAAATTGCTCTTCTAGAAGGTGGCAGCAGTTTATACTCCCCCCAAGAGTTTGAGCTTTTCTGGATTCTCCAAGCCATGACTAACACTGGAAATTGCCAGGCATTTTAATTTTAGTAAGTCTGGGGATGAGAGGGGAGAACGTCATGTTAATTCTATGCATTGGCATCAGAATAATATGGGTGACATTATTTAAATTGTCCATGATGCTGGATGTCTTCATAAGTCATTTTTGTTTCTTTTTTCTGGGAAATACCTGTTTGCTTTCTCTACTTACTTTCTGTTAGTTGTTTTTAGTTGTTTCACCGATTTCAAAAAATGTTTAACTTTATTCTAGATCATATGAACATATTTTTTCTCCGGTTTTCCTTTGAATTTGCTTATGATAATTGTTTCCATGCAGAAAGGTTTGTGGCGTCAAACTAAACTGCTTTTATTTTATGTATTTTGAGTTTTGCCATACCAAGATTTTTTAAAAAATATCCTTTTTACTGAGTTGTTATGACTTACCATTTATGGTTAAATTTTTCATTTGCATAGAATTTAGATTCTATGAATAAATAATATTCATCTCAGAGAAGTGAAATTCTTTATTGAATAATTATTTTTTTTCACTTACTGGAAAAGCAGTCTTTTAATTGGCATTAAAAATTTCATGTTAGGCCCTGGCTGGTATGCTCAGTGGATGGAGTGTGGTTTGCAAACCAAAGGGTCCCTGGTTCGATTCCCAGTCATGGCACATGCCTGGATTGGGGGCCAGGTGCCCAGCGGGGACTACATGAGAGGCAACCATACACTGATGTTTCTCTCCCTCTCTTTCTTCCTCCCTTTCCCTCTCTCTAAAAATAAATACATAAACTCTTAAAAAATTTTTATGTTAGTTTGGTGTTATTTCTAGATCATTCAGTGTCTGTTCAACTTTTAATTACTATAGTGTTATGAATTTTAATATTTGGTGAGATTAATCTGTTTCTTTACCCATTTAGCCAGAATTTTCCTGGCTGTACTCACTTAGTTTTCTAGATCAGTTATTTTTAACCTTTTTAATCTTGTGGCACACATAAACTAGTTACAAAAATTCTGTGGCACACCAAAATACACATTTTTTCCTGATCTGACCAAAAAAAGGTATAATTTTGATTCATTTACGCTAGACGGCCGTCATGTTGGATGTTGTCATTTTTTTTTTTCACTTGATAGTCTAAGGGAAAAGAGGTCAGGCCCCTAATTGAATAGTCGGGTAGTGTATGTTTTAAAGATTTATTGCTGCATGTCAGTCGAAAATCACTGCTCTAGATGACTCTTAGAACAATTTTTATTATAAGTAAGGCAAGGTCTTACAGGTATACATTTTCCTGTAAGTGTAGCATCAGCTTCAGTTTTTAGATTGTGTTACATAATGTTTTTTATTGTATTTTCTAGAAAGTGTGTAATCTCAAATTTTATTTCTTCTGTGACTCGAGAGTTGTAGAAGAAATTTTAATATTTCTAGGAAATTATTTTCTAGTGTTACTATATTTTGTTTATAGAGAGTATGGTCTGTGTATATTAGTATTGGGGAATTTCATGTTTTTTAATGGCTTAAACTTTGGTTATTGCTTGTTATATCCATTGGGAACTTAGAAAAACGTAATCTCAGTTCAGAGCAACCTTACTAGTTATGTAATTTCATTTTCTTGTATCTTTCTTATACTATTGTTTTCTTAATCTGCCTAGGACAGAAGTGAATTCATATATCTGCCCTTATTTCTGTTTGTTTCTCTAATTTTACCTCAGTTTTTACTTTGCTTTTTGGATGTATATAGGGTGAGGCAAAAGTAGGTTTACTGTTGTATGTATGCAAAACACAGAATTTATTGTTGTATTATTTATTGTATTCTTTCTATATCAACAACTGTTAAACATACTCTTGCTGTATACTGTATATTTACAAAGGGATCCTCATTGAGGATTGTACCTTTAAAGTGTCCCTTTTTCTTTTTGCTTCTGATTAAATTCCTTATTAATATTATATGGTTCTTCATATTTATGACATTTGCTCAGCCAGCCTCTATGTTTAAACATTTTCTACCTCCTAGGTAGTTGTTTGGATTTAGACAGATGTTTTAAATATAACAAATAGCTGTATTTGAGTTTTGATTCTTACTGATTGTTTTTCTTCTACATAATAAGTTTTTCCTCAATTATATTGTTTGAGATAATGTATTTTGCCTTAAGTCTGTCACCTGTTTATGGTTAAATTTTCTATTTTTAATGTTTCTCTTCTTTTCCTTTGATTTGTTTTCTTTGTCTTTTACATTATATGATCAATCTAAATCATAAAAGGAGGGCAAAGATTTATCAGATAAATATGAATTTTAGAAATTCAGGAACTTCACTGGTTGTACCCCGGATAATGACTGATCTTGTCCAGTTTTCTTGGGATCCAGCATGCAAATTAAGCCTTCCTTTGAGTTCATTTTGTCTATTATACCCTTGAAATATATATTTTCCTGTTTGCTAGAGTCTCAGGGACACCACTTACATAGGACAACAGCTTCTGTCGTCAGCTGGTCCTCCAGTTCTTGACTCTCAAAATGATTTTCAGCCTTGCCTGAGAGAGATGGACTCGCTTGTGGAGCATTTTCTTTTTTCATCTTGAGGGGAACCCAGATCATTTGCAAATGCTTCCAGTGACTCTGATGTGAAACTCTGCTTTTCTGAGGAGCTTTAAAATTTGTGGTGTCTGCTTAAGGTTCTGATTGAACTGACTGGGATGTGGCCTGGGTATCCAGATTTTTTAAAAGCTTCCAGCTAAATTTTTTTCATAGTCAGGGTTGAATAGCTGCTCCTGTAAGACCTGAGTCTGGGAATTTGAAAACAAAGAGAATTTGCTCAGATTTATTGTTACCTTTGTGAAGTGAAAGCCAGGGAGCAGAGCTCCAGCTGTGACCCCAGTCCTTGAACCTTTGTCCCTGATGAGGGTGCTCGATGGGGAGTTGGGTAAGAATGCCACTGGAGGTGCAGAGCCATCCGGGTGGGTGGAGGTGAGGTTTGGCTCCACTGATTTGCTTCTGGTTTGAGGCTTTTCTTAGGTTTTCTTGAAAATGGGGTTGGGGGTAGTGGAGGTCAGATGTGGTAGAGTAAAACATCTGTGTTCTGCCATCTTTGTGCCAAATGTGTTTGGAACCTAAATTGAGTTGAAAAGAATTTCTGAGGGGACCAGAAGTAAATTCCAGGGCTGATTATTTTGTGTTTTTGAATGTCACTTATTCTGGAGGTGCCAGTTCATTCTCTCGATGGTATTACAGTCAGTTGCACAGGGTGGACCCCTCTCTTTTCATCAGTCACACCATTACTGCATTGTCTTAGTCTTCTTTGCCTAATGAGAAAGCGTGGGTAGTTTGGGGTCATCCATGCTGACCACCAGCCTGGCCTCTCAGTGCTCACAGCCTAGTTCTTTCTAATTCTCTTCTGTGTTGCCACAACATTGCCCAACGTGGGTTCCCCTGGCACTTTTCCCCCAAGTTCCTTCGGG